CTGTTCAATGCTTCTGTGTCTTTGGATCTGTTTTTGTTCATCAGTTTATGTTGTTCATTATATTCCACAAATGAGTGAGATCATGTGATAGTTATCTTTCTCTGACTGGCTTATTTTGCTTAGCATAATGCTCTCCAGTTCCACCCATGCTGTGGCAAATGGTAAGAATTCCTTCATTTTTACAGCAGTGTAGTATTCCATTGTGTAGATGTACCACAGTTTTCTAAAATGAAACTTTCTTTTAATGTTTATAAAGACTAAGAGTGAGGGTTGATATTAAATATCATTGCTTTTCTGTTTTCATAATTTCTCTCACTTTGTATCTACTTTACCTCTGAATATGCAACCATATTTGGATGTATATGTCTATAATTCATTTAAAAAATATTTGTATCTGAATTCATCTGTATTTTTTCTCTGTTTCTTTACCTTTATTCTCATTTCTATCTTTTCTTTTATTTGAATTTTCTCTAACAAAATAACTCTTTGGGTTAAACAAATTTTTATTGGACAATGACTATATAAAAAGCACTATGCTGGTTCTACTACATTAAAACAGTTAAAACTTAAGAGTGACCTTTGTAATTGTATGGCCCCTACTTGCTTTGTGTAATGAATGTGTAATGTATGTATAATGAACATGTGTGCATGTATGTGTGTATATGTGAGTAAAAGAGAGAGTTTGTATTGTTGGTAATTTAGAAGGAAAAAAAAAGGAAATTTCTAATTCTATGCTTGCCATAAACTCTATGATCAACCTTTTGGAGATGTAGATTCCAGGATAAATGTACCAGCAAGGGCAGTTCAAATAATAAACTGGGGAAAGCCTTATGAATCTGAAGTATATATGGGGACATTTGTTTAAACTTAGGCAGAAGCTAATTGGAGATGCATGCCTGTATGATACTTACCTCGCTTAGATTTTTGTGAAGGTGGTCAGCATGATTATTCTTGTGCATATGAAGTCATAATATTCAACAATGTTAGATTTGCCAAGTGTAGAGAGCAAATTCATGCAAATATAGGCATTAAACTTTAGTCTTTTACTAATATGTTTTAACTTAGCCTCTGATCCATGGCTCTTAAGTGTATTTTCTCACAGTAGTAAATACAGGATTGATTTACCTACCATACAGCAATAATTTCAGAAAAAATAATCCATTTAGACCACATTAATAGTACTTAAAAAGGAGTAAAGTATATTAGCTTTAAAGTCTTTTCTGTCATGATAAGTTGAAAATTGTAGAACATAGTTATTATAGAAAACTGCTCACCATTGGCAGATGGAGGGTTTGTTTTCTGAGATCTCAAGGTGACACTAGAAGACCTGGACAGGTCAGTGCCTGTTCTCCATACCTGCACTTCCACATAGCCAGCACTCTCATCCACAGAGTACTCAACATCACCAAAGTAGAAGATGGGTTCTGTTAAGTTAAAAACAAAAAACACTCTGTTATTTTTATTTTTCTACACCAAACTCTACTGATGTAATTCCAAAGAAGAGTTAACTTTATTATCTTGACTTCTTTATATCATCATAAGTTTTCCTTTTAGTAAGATAACATCTCTAATCTGTAGATTTATATAGTTTTCAGGTCAAAATGCTTCTGTTGAAAAGCAAAATACTATGGTAAAATGCCTAATGGAACATTCTCATCTTGAGTTACTTTGTCTTCCATATAAACGTCTTCACAATGAACTTCCTGGAAGTTTAGCTAGAAAAATAGCACTGAAATGAAACAAAACACATAAGGTTAAAATTTTGAGTTTGGTCCTACTGTTCATTTTACCATCTCCTACCAAGTCTTTACTATGGAGACCATTTGCATTGTGACATCTTCTATTCCATTAGATTTGGCTTTAATCTAGTGTATTTGGAACTGTTATAACTAATCCATTGGTGTGACTAGATTGAATATACTATACTAGAGGCCTGGTGAACAAAATTTGTGCAGGGGTAGGGTCCCTAGGCCTGGCTAGTGATCAGGGCCAATTGGGGCCTTCCGGCTGCCAGCCAGAGCCTTCCTTCCCCAACTGCTGGCTGCGGAACAGGGCCTTCCTTCATTCTGGTGGTCAGCACATGTCATAGTGAGAATCAAACTCCTGGTCTCCTGGTCGAACCCCCGAGGGGACACTTTGCATATTAGCCATATATATATATATACACACACACACATACATACAGACTAGGGGCCCAGTGCATGAATTCATGCACCTTAAAAGGAACTGTGGGCTGCAAGGCTGCGGTAGGCACAGGGATGGGTCTCAGTCCATCCTCCATGCCCCCCGCCTGGCTCTTCCTGCCGTGGCTCAGGGTCCCCTGTCTACCAGCAGCCCTGCTCCCAATGCCACCACTCCCACGTGCTGATGGTGCAAGCCCTGCTTGCACCTGCTTAAGGCTCGTAGCAATTGGGTCAGCAGTGGGTGTGAGCAGGGCTGGCCCCATGAGCAGTTGTGATTAGCAGCTGATGCCCTGATGGCCCCTCAGGATCAGGGGGAAGTGGAGAAGTCCTCAGAGATGATCAGGGCTGGCAGCCCCTGCTTGCATCCGCTGACGGTGCTGAGCGATCGGGACTGGCTCTGGGCACCAGCAGCGGGTGCGTGCAGTGGTTCTGGTGCCAGCAGTGGGTGTGAGCAGTGGCTCCAGCACTGGCAGTGGGTGCAAGCAGGGCCGGCACCAGCAGCAGGTGCGAGCGCCAGGCCGGACCATGGTGTGTGGGAGCAAAGAATTTTCAGTAACCTCCAGAGGCTTTCCCCGATGACACAAACCGGTGCCCTGCCTTGGTCTGGCACCCCTGCTCACCTGCTCCACCATCCCACCATGGCCAATGCCCACCATGTTCTGCGCTCACCCTCTGGTGGTCAGCACACATCATGGCAACCAGTTGTTCCGCTGTTCGCTGTTTGGTCTATTTGCCAATTAGCCTTTTATTATATAGGGTGATTACCAGGCTGGGATACTTTAGGGAGATCAGGACATAACTGTAGACTACCTACATGATTTTGCGGGTGTCCTATACCAAGTGAGGTTCCAATAGATAAATAATCTCACACCAAGGGTTTTACATTTGTCTTAAACATGAATGAAAATAATTTATGAAAATAATGTTTTACATTAAAGTAAAACACATGCTTCAGAGACTGCACCCCCCCCCCCCCAGTTTTGGTGATGAATTGATCTAATAATCATTTTCTGTCTGATTCCACTGGTGACCAACAGTTTACCTATTGAGATAGCTGCCAGAAATCTGGGGTAAAGCAGCCAGCTGACTAATAAAGAAAACTGAGAGATGATTTGTGAACTCACTTGAAAAAAAACGTACTTTGAAATATACAAAAATAGCACCCATTAGGAGCTTAATTTGTAAGTAACCATTAACAAAGATAAATTAATTGAGTGTATACACAATGTGGTGAACAGCTCTTTGACTTGAGATATTTTACTCATCTGTGTCTCATTTTAAAAGACTCAAAAGAACTGAGTTGAAAAGGCTATGCAACTCACATCAATGTTCTTTAAAACACAAGGCCATTAAAGAGATAACCATCATGTTTTAGATCATCTAGTTGAATTACCAAACACACAAAATCAAACAAAACCCTACAATCATGGCCCACAATCAAAGGAAATCCATTTTGTGCACTGTTCAAGTTGAGTAAGAATTCTTTACTTTCCTGCCCCAAATAAATTACCTTTATTAAATCTGGAAAATTGTATCTTTGTTTTTTGTGTTTTTTTTTTTTCATATGAAGGGCATGGTAAAAAGTATATAACTCCCCTAAACTCTTGAATAATACAAAACAAAACTTGGAAATTTTGCTTGTTATATATTGTTCACAGGGTGATAAATTTGCCTATAGCTATTTTACCTTCTCAACCCTCATCCTTTGAACTTGGATGGTGCTAGGACATGAGTCTATGTAGATAGATTAAGGCAGCGGTTCTCAACCTTCCTAATGCTGTGACCCTTTAATACAGTTCCTCATGTTGTGGTGACCCCACATAAAAACAGAAAATTATTTTCGTTGCTACTTCATAACTGTAATTTTGCTACTGTTATGAATCGTAATGTAAATATCTGATATGCAGGATGTATTTTCATTGTTATAAATTGAACATAATTAAAGCATAGTTCTGTATGTCTTTTAAAAGGCTCTTATTACTAAAGCCTGAATATCTGCATACAATATATGATCTCTCTGTTTCTTCACATTCCTGGAAAAATATATAATCATATAAATTAGATTTCTGAGTTATGGGAGAGAGCTGTGAAATACAGTAAGGGGGCACCTTCTGTCAATAATGATACCTCCCACCTTCTCACCTGTCTACTCCTCACAGATACATACCAGAAGTGGGACAGAAAAAATCATGTAGTGAATACAATCCATTAAACACCATGTTGGGCTACATATCAGAGCAAAATTCAGTTCTGTGTGTGTGTTCAGACTCATTCTGCCAAATATAGATCAAGTGTTTTATGTTATAGCTTAATAAAGGGTAATGATAATAATCCTATCTAATAAAGAGGGAATATGCTAATTGACCCTCATGCCATCACAAAGATGGTGGCCCCCACAGCCAATAAGGAGGGAATATGCTAATTGACTGCCATGACCTCAAAGATGGCAGTGTCCAGTCCCCTCAGCTGCGCACCTGCCTCCAGAGTCCCCCAGTTCCTTCAGCCCCCCAGCTACCAAGGGCTGGCCCGAGGTGCAGGCTAGCCTTGGATGTCAGCTTCCCAGCTGCCCAGGGCTGCCCGAGGCTCAGATAACAAGGGCCAGCTGAGGCTTGCACTGCTGGCAGTGGCAGCAGCAGAGGTGTGATGAGGCGTCACCTTCCCCTGATCGCTGGGTCGCCTCCCGCCCCTGAGGGATCCCGGACTGCGAGAGTGGGCAGACCAGACTGAGGGACGCCCCCCTCCAGTGCATGAATTTTCATGCACCAGGCCTCTAGTTACCATATAGAGAACATTCACTATCTGACTTACACATGTTCTTTATATGCATGAGTGTGTGTGCATGTGTGTGTGTGTGTCTCAGAGAGAGACTGGGAGAGATGGGGAGAGAGGTAGGAGTAATGGCACAGGTAACAATTAAACAAATAAGAGGAGTTAATGTGAATGATGTGAACAATATTATTATATTGCCAAGTAATTAATACATTGTTATCTCCAGCAGAAAGAAAGAGGGGTACTGGAAAAAGGGTTTTAATCCTGAATCTCTTAATTTCACTACAGCAGATAATAGAAGGCATTGAAAAGATATTACTTTTTAAAATGCATTTTTAAATTATCAGTAGATTTAAGTTATTTATGTGATTTCTCTTCCCTTCTGTGCTCCATTCATGACTGGAAAATTGCTCTATTAATCAATTGCAAGCATTGCAATTAAAGCATAAAGTGATTAACTATGATGAGATTAGAACACAATTCAATCATTTTTATAAGAAAAACAATTTTGCCAACTGCCTAGTTTCTTATGCCATAAATAAAAAGAAATGGCACCAAAACCAGTTTGGCTCGGTGGATAGAGTGTTGGCCTGCGGACTGAAGGGTCCCAGGTTCAATCTGGTCAAGGGCATGTACCTGGGTTGCAGGCACATCCCCAGTAGGAGATGTGCAGGAGGCAGCTGATCGATGTTTCTCTCTCATCGATGTTTCTAACTCTCTATCTCTCTCCCTTCCTCTCTGTAAAAAATCAATAAAATATATTTTAAAAAAAAAGAAATGGCTAAAAATTAGCACCTTTATATCATCTCAGTGTAGTTGAATGAGAATAGAAAAGCATAATAATTATTGTTATTTAAATTTCTCAACACCTTTTCAGAAATCTCTATAGTGTAAATATTGTTTATAATTGTTACCTTTTGGACAGAATCTTTTGTAATATGAATGTTAAAGATCCTTCAAGCAGTGAATTGAGTTACAGATATCTTTCAAGATAAATGGTAGGCTATTTTGGAACCTTTTAATTAGCACTAAGCAAGTGAAAGGAAGAAAAGAATACTGATGCAAAAGCCATAAGAATCACTTGTTCTGGCAAATTATTATAATTTATGGGTAAGATTTTAAATTGCCTCTCTCTGATAACATTGTTTATTTTTTTTCTAGGAGCTTGGTTTACAGTTAAGTAAACTGTAGACTTTTGTATTTTAGTTTTGGAAATACCCACATTACAACTTAAAGTAAATTAGAAAAACCCTATTTAATCCTCCTATATAATAAAAGCCTAATATGCTAAGTGTCCAGTCATCTGGTCATCCATTCAACCAATCAAAGCATAATATACTAATGATATGCTAAGGCCGCTCAACCGCTCGTTATGACGTGCACTGACCACCAGGGGGCAGAGAGTCAACTGGTTGACCAGTCGCCATGACCTGTACTGACCACCAGGGGCAGACGCTCTGAGCAGTAAGTTA